ATTTGTGTATCTTCTTTGGAGAGGTGTCTTCAGATCTTTTGCCTTTTTAAAAAATTCCATTATCTGTCTTTTTTTTTTAAGATTTTATTTATTATTTATTCATGAGAGACACACAGAGAGAGAGAGGCAGAGACACAGGCAGAGGGAGAAGCAGGCTCCATGCAGGGAGCCTGACGTGGGACTACATCCCAGTCTCCAGGATCAGGCCCTGGGCTGAAGGCAGTGCTAAACTGCTGAGACACCTGGGCTGCAAGATTTCTTTATATATTCTGGATAGAAGTTTTATAAGATACATGATTTGCAAATATTTTCTCCTGTTCTTTGGATTGTCATTTCACATTCTTGATGGTGTCCTTTGCAGCACAAAAACTTTTAATTTTGATGAATTCCAATTTACCTATTTTTTGTTGCTTGTGCCTTTTATGTCATATCAAATAAACCATTAGGTCATCTAAATCCATGAAGACTTATACCTATATTTTCTCTTAAAAATGTTATAGTTTTACATTTAGGTCTTTGATCCATTTTGAGTTAATTTTTGTATATAGTATGAGGTAGGGGTCCAATTTCATTTTTTTGCACATAGATATCCAGTTGACTCACTATTATTTGTTGAAAAGATGATTCCCATTGTTGAAAAGATGATATCCCATCTTGATAACCTTTCAAAAAATAAAATGAGAATAAAAGTAAAGGTTAATTTCTAGACTGTAAATTCTATCTCATTGGTCTATGTATCTAAGTCAGTACTACACTGTCATGATTATTGTACTTTTGTAGCAAGTTTTAAGATCAGTGTGGGTTTTCCAACTTTGTTTTTTTTTTTCCAGATTATTTTGACTATTTAGAGTCCCTTGAATTTTCATGAATTTTAGGATCAGTTAATTTCCAAAACAAAGCCAGCTGGAATTTGGTGAGGATCGCTATATTAAGTCTTTTAATCTCTGAGGTTGGATATCTTTACATGTATTTAAGTCTTTGACTTCTTTAAGAAATGTTTTGGGGAACCCTGGGTGGCGCAGCGGTTTGGTGCCTGCCTTTGGCCCGGGGCGCGATCCTGGAGACCCAGGATTGAATCCCATGTCGGGCTCCCTGCATGGAGCCTGCTTCTCCCTCTGCCTGTGTCTCTGCCTCTCTCTCTCTCTCTCTCTCTCTCTCTGTGTGTGTGACTATCATAAATAAAAAATAATAAAAAATAATAAAAAATAATAAAAAATAAATAAAAAAATAAAAAAAGAAATGTTTTGTAGTTTTCAAGCATTTTGCTACATTTATTCCTAATTATTTTCTCTTTTTTTAAGATTTTATTTATTTATTTGAGAGAGAGAGAGAGCATGAGCAAGGGGGAGGTGCAGAGGCAAAGGGAGAAGCAGGGTCCCTGCTGAGGGCTCTATCCCAGGATCCCAGGACCACAACCTGAGCTGAAGGCAGTCTCTCAACCAAGTGAGCCATGCAGGCACTCCTAATTATTTTATTTTTTGATGCTATTGTAAATGTAATTATTTTCTTTCTACTATTTTATTATTTTATTTTTGAATTGTTCATTGAATGTATAGAAATACAATTGATGCCTATATCCTGCAGCCTTATTGAACTTGGATATTAGTTCTATAGCTTAATAGATTCTTTAGGATTTCCTTCCTTTCCTTTCCTTTCCTTTCCTTTCCTTTCCTTTCCTTTCCTTTCCTTTCCTTTCCTTTCCTTTCCTTTCCTTTCCTTTCCTTTCCTTTCCTTTCCTTTCCTTTCCTTTCCTTTCCTTTCCTTTCCTTTCCTTTCCTTTTCTTTTTTTTAGTAGGTGCTACACCCAACATGTGGCCCAATGAGCAGATTCAACTCCCAACCCCAAGGCCAAGACCTGAGCTAAGACCAAAAGTCAAACATTTAACCGATTGAGCCACCCAGGTGCTCCTAGGATTTTCTGTATATAAAATCATCTGTGAATGGAGATAGTTTTACTTTTTTCTTTCCAATATAGATGCTTTTTCTTTTTTTCCCCCCCTTTTTGTCCTGGTCAAAACCTCCAACCCAATGTTGAATGGAAGTGGCAGAAGCAGACATACCTCTCTTATTCCTTTTTCTCTTTTTTGAGAAAGAGAGAAAGAGTGCAAGCATGAGAAAGAACTAGAGTTGGGGCAGAGGGAGAGGGAGAAAGAATCTCAAGCAGGCTCCATGCCCAGTGTGGAGTTGATGTGGGGCTTAATCTCATGACTTCAAAATCATGCCCTGAACTGAAATCACACTCAACTGAGCCACCCAGGTGCCCCATCCTTGTCTTATTCATGATCTTAAGAGGAAACTATTCAGTTTTTCGCCATTAAGTATAATGTTAGCTGTGGATTTTTAATAAATACTTCTTATCATATTGATGAAATTCTCTTTTCATTCAAGTTTGTCGAATGCTTTCATCATGAAGATGTGTCACATTTTGTCAAATGCTTTTTCTGCATCGAGATGATCATGTGGTTTTTGTCCTTTATTCTGTTAATCATTTACATTAATTGATTTTTTTATGTTAGCCCAAGTTTGCACTCCTGGGATAAATCCACTTGGTCTGGTGTGTAATACTTTTTATATGTTGCTAAATTTGATTAGCTAGCATTTTGTTGAGGATTTGGGGTCTTTATTCATAAGAGATACTGGCTTAGGGATCCCTGGGTGGCGCAGCGGTTTGGCGCCTGCCTTTGGCCCAGGGCGCGATCCTGGAGACCCGGGATCGAATCCCATATCAGGTTCCCGGTGCATGGAGCTTGCTTCTCCCTCTGCCTATGTCTCTGCCTCTCTCTCTCTCTCTCTCTGACTATCATAAATAAATAAATTAAAAAAAAAGATACTGGCTTATAGTTTCCTTTTCTTATTATATATTTGTCTAGATTTGGTATCAGGGTGATAATACTGGCTTCGTAGTATGAGTTGGGGAATATTGTCTCTTCTTTTTTCTGGAAGAGTTTGAGAGAGATTGATCTTTATTGTTGTTTTTTTTTTTTTTTTTTTTTTTTTTTTTTTTTTAAATTTTTTTTTATTTATTTATGATAGTCACAGAGAGAGAGAGAGAGGCAGAGACACAGGCAGAGGGAGAAGCAGGCTCCATGCACCGGGAGCCCGACGTGGGATTCGATCCCCGGTCTCCAGGATCGCGCCCTGGGTCAAAGGCAGGCGCTAAACCGCTGCGCCACCCAGGGATCCCCTATTGTTGTTTTTTTTTTAAGATTTTATTTATTTATTCATGAGAGACACACAGAGAGAGAGAGGCAGAGACACAGGCAGAGGGAGAAGCAGGCCCCATGCAGGGAGCCCAATGCGGGACTTGATCCCTGGTCTCCAGGATCACACCCTGGGCCAAAGGTGGCGCTAAACCTCTGAGCCACCAGGGCTGCCCTTTATTGTTTTTTAAATATTTGGTAGAATTCACCAGTAGACCCATCTGGCCCAGGCTTTCCTATGTGGTTAGTTTCTGGATTACTAATTCAATCTCCATACTGGTTATGGGTCTATTCATATTGTTTACTTCTTTTTGAGTCAGTTTTGGTAGCTGTGTCTTTCTAGAAATTTGTCCATTTCATCTAAGTTAATCTGATTTGTTGGCATGTAGGTATTCATAGTCTTTCTTTACAATCCTTTATTTCTGTAAGGTTGATAGTAATGTTCCCTCTTTCATTTCTGATACTAATTTGAGACTTTTCTTTTTTTTCTTGGTAAGTTTAGCTGAAGTTTTGTCACTTACTGATCTTTTCAAAACAACTTTTAGTTTCATTGATTTTTCTCTATTGCTTTTTTGTTCTCTAGTTCACTTATTTTTGTTCTCTTCTGTGTTACTTCCTTCACTCTGCTTGCTTTGGGTTTAGTTTGCTTTTCTTTTTCTAGTGTTTGAGGTCTTTTTTTCTTTTTAATATTGTCTTTTGCAGGGAAAAATTATAATCCTATGCATACACATACATGTGTACACACACAAAAAGAATATATGTTTCAAATACATAGAAGTACAATTGACCCTTGATCAACAGGTTTGAACTGTGTGGGCCCACTTATAAGTTGATTTTTTTTTCAGTAAATATATTGGAAAATTTTTAGGAGATTTATGATAGTTTGAAAAAAACTCACAGATGAACCACATAGCCTAGAAATGCTGAGAAAATTAAGTTAGATATATCATGAATGCATGAAATATAGGTAGGTAGTAGGCTGTTTTATCATTTGCTACCATAAAATATACACAAGTCTATTATAAAAAGTTAAAATTTATCAAAATGTATGCACAGACTTATAGACCCTATATGGTGCCATTCACAGTAGAGAGAAATGTAAACAAACAAAAGGGTGCAGAATTATATAACAACAGCATAAAACCGTAGAACATACTGTACTACTGTAGTGCTTTTGTAGCCACCTCCTGTTGCTATTGGGATGAGCTCAAGTGTTGCAGGGATCTGCTTAAAACTCCAGGACAATCATCTCCGCATGAGCAGTTTGTCTCCATAAATTGCTTTTCACAGTAAAAAGTGATCTCTTGTGGCTTTTGCTATTAGTAGTTAAGTTGTGGGGGAGTCAGAAGTTATGTGCAGATTTTTGACTTGGGGAGGAGGGGGAGGTCAGCGTCCCTAACCCCCTGCAGTGTTCAAGGGTCAACTGTGTCTGTGTGTATCTCAAATACATACAAGTATGTATACACTGTATTTATATAAAGCAAGAATGTGAAACAAAAATTGGCTCTACAGGGAAGCTGCCTGAATTCAATTCCCTGTTTTTACCACTTACCAGTGGTCAACCTGACCAAGTTCCTTATCTGCATCAAACCTAAGTTTTTTGAGCCACAAAATTGAGATATTAATCCCTCCCTCACTAGGTTTTTGTGATCATTAACTGAGCAAAAGTACATAAAGTGTCCTATACACAGTGTCTGCACAGAACCAGATACACAGTAAGTGCTGAACAAAAGGCAGCTGCTCAAAGAACGAAAGCTAATCCCTAGTGGTAATTATTTGTTCACCCGTCTGTCCTGGCAGTTCCTCTGTGACGAGGGTGCTGGTATTTCCGGGGACTACATTGATCGTGTGGATGAGCCCTTATCCTGCTCTTATGTGTTGACCGTCCGGACTCCTCGGCTCTGTCCCCACCCTCTCCTTAGGCCCCCACCCAGCGCTGCTCCTCAGGCCATCCTCTGTCACCCTGCCCTGCAGCCTGAGGAGTACATGGCCTACATTCAGAGGCAAGCTGGTGAGTAATTAGAAGAACAAGGAGAGGGGGCCCCTGGGTGGCTCAGTGGTTGAGTGTTTGCCTTTGGCTCGGGTCATGATCCCTGGGGTCCTGGGATTGAGTCCTGCATCAGGCTCTCCGCAGGGAGGCTGCTTCTCCCTCTGCGTATGTCTCTGCCTCTCTCTCTCTCTCTCTGTTTCTCATGAATAAAGATATAAAATCTTAAAAAAGAGAAAGGAGAGGAAGAAGAGACACCAGGAGAGACAAGCGGAAGATAAGGTAGGCATGTGGCCTTGTCCTGCCCACACACTGTTTTTCAGTAGACTCAAAGCAGTATGGAGATAAAGCCCTAGAGGAGCTGCAAGATCTGGAGCCGCAAAAGTGGGGTGAGGCCCAACCCGGAGCGGTGCCCTCAAAGAGAGGAGGTAGGATCTTCCTGCATCTGTTCCGTGAAACTTCTCCACTTCTTCCCTTCCCCAGTCCTACTGACCTGCACTGACCGTTGGGGGTGGGGAGGAAGTCCTACGGGCCCTAATTCCTTAGTAATAGTGAAGGGGAATGTACCCCATTCTACTTGCTCCCTTCTGTTTCTCCCACCTTTCAGAGTCCTCCCTGTTCTCTATATCCCAGGTGCACATCCAACCAAGGATGACAGTAAGGAGTCCAATTTCTGGAAGATGCTTCCTGAGCCACAGGAGCAGACCCCTGGGGCAGCGGAGACACCGGCTGAGGTGAGAGCTGGCTTCCCAGCTATTTCTCTGATGAGGGTGACCCTGGGCGAGCTGAGGTCATCGTGAGTTGACCTACACCTATCCAGGGAGGCAAGGATCTACCCAGAACCACTGCCTTAAGAATGTGGTAGGTGTGAACGAGCCTGTGGACTTTACTCCGCCCTTTTCTCCTCATCAGGAGCAGGAACCAAACCTTGAGGCCGCAGATCCAGCTCCGGGCCCTCCCCATGGTGAGCAGAACCCTCCACCTCTCCTTTACCGCTTGAATGTATTTTGGAGGGGGTGGGGGTGGGGGTGGGGTGGAACTAAACACTGGTGGGGGAGGTTGGGCGGCCAGGCCAGCAGTGAATTCATCTTTATTGAATTGGAGGCAATACTATTTACAGACAGCAATGCTATTCTAGGGAGATAACGGAACTCGGTGGTTCCGCTACTTGCTGACTTTGTAATCCTGGGTGATTGCACTTAACCTCAATTTCCTCACCCCCAGCAGTGGGTAATCCCCCTACCTTACAGGGTAGTTGTGAGGTTCAGTGAGAACAAGTCTGTAGTTCACAGCAGAATGCCCCGAACAGAGTAGACCAGAGTAGACAAGAAATGGTTTCTATTTGGCAGAAAGGAGAGAACAGTATCCAGGGAAGAGAAGGCTGTGGCCCCAGAATCTCTTCCGTAGTCCTCAGAACTGGAGTAATTGCCAGCAGGGCCCAGCAGCGTGGGTGCGAGCAGTGTGTTAGTATCCCCTGTCTCATCTTTGGGTCCACCTTAGGACAGCACCCTCCAGGGGCCTGCGTCGGCTCCTATCTCACTGACCAGACAGGTGGCTCCCGGACGCAGGGACCATGTCCTTCCCTGGTCTCCTCTTCTCCTCTCCTTAGGAAATCAAAATAGAATTTAGGACACAACTGCTTCATCCCTGCTCTTTGATCTCAGATTTTCAGAACAACGTACAGGTCAAAGTCATCCGGAGTCCTGCAGACTTGATTCGATTGATAGAGGAGCTGAAAGGTGGAACCAAAAAGGTACGGGCCCCTGCTCAACAGAGGGGGAGAACCCGCCTCCCTGCTGGGAGCGCTTAGAGAACGGCCCCTGGAGTGAGCCCAGGAGAGCTGACTCCCTTTCTTTCCTCCTCCCGAGTCCCCCCACTGCCACACTCCAGCCACTGTCTATCTGTGGCCCACACGTCTCTACTGAAACCCCAACTGTCCGTCTCTTTCTCCCGATCCCCCGTCCACCTAGGGAAAGCCCAACGGAGGCCAAGAGCAGCCTGTAGGTGAAGCAGAAGTCCCTCAAAGGGAAGCAGAGGAGAAGGACAAGAGTGACACGGATCATCAGAACGAGGTGGAAGAGGAGGAAGAGGAGGAGGAGGATGAAGATGAAGATGAGGATGAGCAGCAGTTACTGGGAGAGTTTGAGAAGGAACTGGAAGGGATACTGCTTCCATCAGACCGAGACCGGCTCCGCTCTGAGGTGAAGGCCGGCATGGAGCGGGAGCTGGAGACCATCATCCAGGAAGTGAGCACAGCCCTTACCCTGCTCTCCTTGGCGGCCGGCTGCTCCTATGGACTAGGGCAGGCTGGGGGGCCAAAGGAATGAAGGGCGGCCTGCGGCTGGCACAGGGCAGGGGCACAGGGCAGGGAACAGTGTGCTCAGCTGCCACTTGTTTCCTTAATGGAAGGAAGGGACGGTAGGGAAGCGGGGACCAGAGGGAGGGCCAAGACTTAGCCGTTGCTTTCCTGTTAGAGCACGAACCACTGAGCTGCACTGCCCCCCGCCCCCTGACTCCACTCTCCTGCCTTGGGCATTCCAGACAGAGAAGGAGCTGGACCCAGACGGGTTGAAGAAGGAATCTGAGCGTGATCGGGCAATGCTGGCCCTGACCTCCACTCTCAACAAGCTCATCAAAAGGCTGGAGGAGAAACAGAGTCCAGAGCTGGTGAAGAAGCACAGGAAAAGGAGGGTTGCCCCCAAAAAGCCTCCCCCCAGCCCCCCACCAGCAGGTAAGAGCTGTTGGACAGGGTCCCTCAGCTGGTGTACCCTGGTGGGCATCCCGTTTTGCCCTTCCGAGGGTGCTCACTCCCCTCCATCCTCCTGGAACGCAGCTCTCCTGCCTTCTTCCCACTGCCTCCATCCCTTTGCCTGGTTACCTCCTACTCAGTCATCCCTTCGGGAAGCGGCTTTTAGAGCATGTCTGTCCAGTTTTCTGGCTGGCTCCCGTGTACCCAGCACCTAGCACTTCCACGGCGCATGGTGGGTGGTCGGTAGAAACTAATGGAACGACTGGGAGCCAGCTTGTGTGCGGAAGACCACACACCTGTGAAGGACGCAGCGTATCAACAGTGAGCCCGGTGCGCTGGGAAAGGCCCCCGCTGGTAGGGTGTGAACGGGCAAGCCTGGCTGGTCAGAAGCCAGTTGCCTGGCGGGACAGACGTGAAGTTATTGCTTCCTCCTGCACCCCTGAGCTCCATGCCACAGGGTCATATGAGATTAGACATTCCAAATGGAATGTTCTGTTTTCACACCTTCCATCCCACCATCTCTATAAACACTGGAATGTCTTTCGAGTACCAGCATGTGGAACAAAACCACAGTTTTCCAACCTGCTTTCCTAAAACAAAACTCCTCTGTTGGCCCAGGTGACCTGATTTTTGCTTCAGAAAACACAGTGGTTTTTCCTGTAGGGGACAGGCAGGATGATTGGTCCAGGAGGGGAAAGGGAGGCTGCGGTTAGTGGAGGGAGCTTTATAGGCTGAAGGGGGATGGAGGAAGGGGGCACTTACTCTGAGCCCCAGTTCATCAAAGCGTGTGATGGAAAACTGCCAGGACCAGTTGATGGCTTAGGGAGAGGTGACCACCGCAGCCCCTAACCTGGAATCACGGCTCTGCTTTGTGTCTCCCTGTGTGTCTCCCCCTCTAAGAGGAGGATCCTGAACACAGAGTCCGGGTCCGGGTCACCAAGCTCCGTCACGGAGGCCCCAATCAGGATCTGACTGTCCTCGAGATGAAACGGGAAAACCCACAGCTGAAACAAATCGAGGGGCTGGTGAAAGAGCTGCTGGAGAGGGAGGGGCTCACGGCGGAAGGTGGGCCCTGGGGCGGGCTGGCTTAAGAGTTGTTGGCAGGGCCTGCTGCCCAAGGTGGAGGGGCTGGGTCCAGGTGGACTGGAAACCTCGCTGGGGACCTGGGAGGCAGAGGGCCCTGCACGGACGCTCCCACCTTTCCTCTTCCTCTCACTGCCCACGTGGCTCCTTTCCAGGGAAAATTGAAATCAAAATTGTGCGACCAGGGGCTGAAGGGGCAGAGGAGGACTCACACTGGCTGACTGATGAGGACACGAGAAACCTCAAAGAGATTTTCTTCAATATTTTGGTGAGGGGCACCTTCACCCAGCCCTGGATCTCCAAGCCTTGACCCCGGTCTAGCCCGCCACGGGGATGGCCAGTCCCAGCCTCACCACCTCCTGGGCTGCTGGAATTTCTGGCGGCTGGGTGGGTGTTCCCCTGCGAAGAAGCGCGGGGGCGGGTCCCTGCCCTCCACACGTGCGGGGCCCCGGATCCTCCAGGGCCCAGCGCCGCCCTTGGCTCTCCACCAGCAACCCCGCTCACGCACCCCCGCCCGCCCTCCCTGCAGGTGCAGGGAGCAGAGGAGGCGCAGAAGGAGCGGCAGCGCCAGAAGGACCTGGAGAGCAATTACCGCCGTGTGTGGGGCTCTCGGGGCGCAGAGGGCACAGGGGACCTGGACGAGTTTGACTTCTGAGACCACTTCTGCTGTTGGCCGGGCAAGGAGTCCAGAGCCTGCCTAGCCTGGCACTGCCTCCTCCCGCCCTGCACCCTGGGGCCCCTAGGGCAAAACAGCAGAGTAGGGCTGAGCGGTGGACCTGGCTTCCTCCCGCCTCCTGCCGCCTCCTTCCCTGGGGGGGGGGGGTAGGGGGCCCCGTGGGGTGAGCGTGCTGCTGCTGCCGTCACCCCTGCTGCCCAGAGCCACCCAAGACCTCGCAGGCCTGTGGGGTTTGCTCTCCCAGGCTTCTCCCCACAACCCCTTCCTTTTGTCCCTGGCTCCCCATACCAGTCCCCTAACTTGTTGGTTCCTCTCCCCTCCCTCCCTAGAAAGTTGGTGAGATCTTTTGAGCAAAGGAGGGCAGGGGGAGCAAGAAGAGTGGGGCGGCTCAGCAGGCCCCCCACGCCCTGCCTGAGCTGCTCCTCGGGGTCACCCCCTTCCCTTGGATCAGCTGGGGATCCCCTGCTCCTTCCCGTGCCCACATTGTTCCCTACAATATGTGCTTCCAAGTTGAGGTGCCTTTGCCTCTGTTTCTGAGGAAATGGGAGAAAGTTGCCCACCACCTCTGACACGATCCCACTGAAAAGGGTGGGGTACAGAACCACCCACCATGTTCTTGAACAATCAGGTTTCTCAGTAAAGAACTGGACCATCGATCCATCAGTCTGTGTTTTCTTCTTGGGGTAGGTGGGCTGGGGGCTGTAGCAGGCATGAGGCTTAGTGTTCTCAGGGTGGAGTGCACACTCTCCTATCCCATCCTGTGCTCCACACCCCCCCACCCAGGTGCCACCAGTGGTACTAGGGCTCATGGGAAGAGACCAGGACAGAGAAACAAAGCCCACTGGCCTGCCAAGGGCGGAAACACTCATAGTACTGCCGTCCCTCCTTTTCCTCATCTATATCCATTCCTTCCCTTCTCCCCCTTCACATCCCGGAAGCCGAGTGCACCCCATGCAGTTACCCCACCGCAGGGATCCTCCTGCTGAACTCCTGCAGCGTGCCACAGCTGCCGTTTGCCACCCGCACCCCGTGCCCACCTGGCCACACCGCTTCATTTCTGCCAGAAAAGACTCTCCTCGCCACGCTCAGAGAGGGCGCTGCTGCCCTCGGAGGCCAGCCTCCCACCCTGCTGGGTAGTAGGTGGCTCTGGGTAGGTCTCTCCGTGTCCTCCTTGTGGAGCGCAGACACGGGGCCCCTCACCTCCCCCTTTCTCCTCTTGCTCCCCATCTCTGAGCTGTACAGTCTTCTGCAGCCACTGCTCACAAGGTAGGTTAGAGGCCCCTGAACTGGGTCTCCCGAAGTGCCAAGTGAGATTCAAGTGTTCTGGAAGGAAGTCGTCCGAGACGGACCCTCTTCTTTCTGAATGTAGACAGGTGCTTATTTTTCATGTTATGCTTAAATTGTTTTATGTAGAAATGTAAACGGGTAGACTTGTGAAATCCTGCTTCCCCAGGTCCATTTTGAGTGTCTTGCGGGGAGGAATGCTTCACCAGTGCAAGACCTGTGGTACCGCCCGGAGCCCAGCTGCAGTGGGGAATGCTGGGTTCAAATGCTCCCTCCTCTATTTACTCAGTGGGGCCGTGAACAGTTAACTCTTCAAGTGCTGTTTCCTCACCGTAAGTTGTGGATAATCACACTGGCCTCCCACGGTGGTTGGGAGTATGGAATAAAACCTGCTGTTGTGTATGTATCATGCTCTTGGCACAGCACCTGGCCTCAGAGAGCATTCGAGACGTTCTAATGAACCAGCTCCTGAGTTCTGAAGAGACTAGATGGTACTTGGAGACCAGAGTCTTAGATGGAATCTCAAAAGCTGATCTGAAGCTACAGTGGAATCTTTCAGAATGGGAGAGCCAGGAGAGCCGGGAGAGGCTCGGGCGGGAAAGTTTGCCTTGATGGGGATGGACTCTTAAGATCATCAGAAAACTGAGTTCTGGAAACCTTGCTAGATTTAATCATCCTGTACTTTCAATAGTAAATTCCTTTTTGCTTTCCTTTGGCGTTTGGTGGGAGTTTGGTGGAACCTCCCGTGGAGGAAGTCGGTCTGCCCCAGCTGTGCTAAGTCAAACAAAAAGAGGGGAGCAGGAGGTGTGGGACGTGGCAAGGTTGGGGGGGTGGAGGGGCAGCAGGAATCCAGGTGAGGACACCTATGAACTTGGATGTAAAATGGCAGCAGCTCCCCTCAGCCCCACAGGGAGTCTCCTAGAGTCCTATTCTGCACAACCTGGAGGGCTTGAAACTTTGTCATCCCATCCACTACATCCTTCACATTTCCCACAAGGCCAGAGACGCAGCCCATGACAAAAAGCATCCAGTGGATTACTTAGTGTTGGGATTTGCTGCGGGGGTTGCTGACCCCTTGACCACCTTTCATTGGCTGGAAATGAAAGGAACTTCCCACTGGCCTGTGGTTCCCTGTGGTAATCTCGTGCTCTCCAGGGTCCCTGCTTCCTCCACAGACTCTCCCACACTCGAGCTTCTGAGGAAGAGTGTGACCACCAAGATGTAAAGTGGAGAATGGCCGGGTCCAGGGTCTCTGAGCTGAAAGCGGGAATGGCCAGGTGTTCCACTTGAGTCTTTTTTGCTATTTCCCTCTCATTTCTTTTCTTTCTTTCTTTCTTTTTTGGGGGGTGGAGAGACGAGGAAGAGGGAGAGAGAATCTTAAGTAGGTTCCACCCAGCAGAGCCCAACTTGGGCCTTGATCTCAGAACCCTGAGATCAGGAACTGAGCTGAAATCAAAAGTCAGATGCTCAACCTGCTGAGCTACCCAGGTGCCCTCCCCCTTCCTTTTGATTTGCCTTGTATCCCTGAGTTCACCTCTTCCTATGTCAGGCTGCTGTGCTGGGTGGTCACCAGCCTAGGATCCTGGAAGGCCTCCATGTGAAAGGAACCTGGACCCACTGCTGCAACCACACCTTGTTAGCTTGATGGCGCACCTGCAGCTCTATGTCGTTGTGGGGCTGAGAGGCTCCGAGCCTCTACCAGAGGCTCTACCAGAAGACTCAAGGCCATTGACTGAATGACAACACGTTGGTGGCCGTGCCCAGCCTGCATTGGCTGCTGGCCAACACCACTTCACCCAGCCCCTGTATCAGGGCAAATGCTTTCCGCTGCTGCACATGAGAAACAGGATTGGCTTCGTGCTGAAGCAGGAAGCACTGCAGCTGTCGGGGGCAGCACTGGCATCAGTGGCCTAGGTGACAGGGAGGTGGGCAGATGTTTACATCAGCTGGGCATGGAGTTTGTGGACACTGAGGACTTTCGTGGCTGTGAGATTTCCCACCTCTTCTCTCCAGCCCCCTACTATAATGAGCTCTAACTTCTGGTACCAGGTTCCTAGGGCAGTCCCTCCATGGCCAGGGCTGGAGTCCTTACGGGGTCCCCCTGAACAGATGTTCAGATTACAAATAAACAGATGACACCAGAGTAACCTGCCCAAGGCCACCTAGCCATGACGTGGAGGGCCCAGTTTCAAAATCAGATCTGACTCCAAAGTTCTGCTCTAAACCAAAGCTGCCCCTGCTTCTCACCTCTCTAAACAGCTCCCCCCTACCCCATCCTCTCCTCTGAGTTCCACACCCCAGCTCCTTTCTAGAAAAGGGGTCATCGGGATCCCTGGGTGGCGCAGCGGTTTGGCGCCTGCCTTTGGCCCAGGGCGCGATCCTGGAGACCCGGGATCGAGTCCCACGTCGGGCTCCTGGTGCATGGAGCCTGCTTCTCCCTCTGCCTATGTCTCTGCCTCTCTCTCTCTCTCTGTGACTATCATAAATAAATAAAAATTAAAAAAAAAAAAAGAAAAGGGGTCATCTTGGGGATCCTGGCTTCAGCTCCCTGGATACCCCCTGTTGCTCTGACCTGCCTGTTTCCTTTCCCTGCAGGACGAAGTATCTGACCTACCACCTGGTTGCCCTGGCACCAGCCCAGCAGAGAAACCCTCTGCTGGCCCTCTCCCCCCCTGCACGTCCCCACCACGACCAAGTCCATTCCCTGACCCGCCTCTTCAAGAACAAACCAGCAGCTCACCCCCTAGACAAAATCACTTCCTCTTTAATTGCTGTTGAAGAAGATTCACGCCATCTGCCTCAGAGGAGATGGGGGCATTTCCCTCTGCCCCGGTCCTTCTCCCCTCCCCAATTACCTGGTTCTTTGCAAAATATTTTAGTCGAAGGAAAAAAAAAAAAAAAAAAGACCGGAAACCACTGACACAGACGGTCCAAGGGCTGGATTGATTAAAGGAAGCTGGGCTAGGCCAGGTAAATCCACTCCACCACCCCCTTTTTCCGGGGAAGGGGAAGGAGGCCTGGAAACCCTCCCAGCCAGCTCCCATCCTCTTAGCCCTGGCTGGGAAGGATCACGGGGTTGAGGGACGGGTCTGGAGCTGCTCCAGGGGGAGGGTGGGGCTGGACAGGAAGAAGAGTGGGGGAGGGGTCCCACTGTAGGGGTGCCCCCTACCCCAGATCACCACGGGCGCTGCACAGTCACAGGTACGCAGTCACGGTCACAGACACTCACAACCCGAGAGCACCCCCACCCCACCCCACCCTCTGCCCACCCCTGGCTTCCCCTACCCTGAAACGCCCTCCCCAGCCCCTGCCCGCCCCCGCCCCCTCGTTGGGGAACAAAGCAATAAATTACAAGGTCCCTCCCCGGTCCCCTTAGCCCGCTCGGCTCGGCTCCATCTCTCCTCCCTCCCGAGCTGGTGGTGAGGAGGGGCCCAGGCTCTTGGCTCCCCCGGCCCTTCGGCTTCCATCCATGGGTGGGTGTGGGGGGACGTCCTGATTTCCACTCCTCATGGTCCCTTTCACGGAAAGGGTTGGGGACCCCCCTACCCCCTTGGGCAGCAGGGGTCCTGCCCCTCGCTGCCCTTCCCCCTTCACTGGGCAGTGAGATCAGCTTGGAAGGGGTGGGGGCCCCGGTCTCGGCCCGAGTCCCAGGGCTGGCTCCCGCACGCGCCAGCCCCCCTCGGCGGCCCCAGGAGCCAGCCTGGGTGTGCGCTCCCGCTGGGACCTCCCCCCAGCCCACCCCAGGGGGCGCACCCCGCGGGGGACCCAGAGCGGTCCGGGTGGGGCCGGTGGCCGGGCTGTGGGTCGCCGAGGCTCGCTGGGCGGGGGGCGACTCGTGTCCTCTGGAGCGCGGGGGCCGCGCCTCGGGGGGACAGGTGCGCCCGGGGGGTGCGGACGGGAGCGGCGCGTGTGTCCGGCGGTCCGCCCGGCCTGCTCGTGCCGGCCGCGGGAGGGGCGCTCCGCCCGGGGCTACACCAGCGCCACGGCGGCGGCGTCGGCGCGGCCCATGCTGGCGGCGCTGCTCCGGCGGCGGGGGCTGGGCGTGGCGGCGGCGCCGGGGGCGGGGGCCGCGCCGGGGGTGGTGGCCGCGCTGCCGCCCTCGCCGGGGCAGCCGTGCTGCAGGAGGATGTCGGCGCACAGCTGGCTGCCGGCCTGGCGCGCGTAGAAGAGCGCGGTGCGGCCCTGCGCGTCGCGGGCGGCCACGTCGGCGCCGTACTGCGGGGACCGAGACGGGGCGGGGGGCGCGTCACCCAGCGGCCCGCCGGCCGACCCCCGCCCGGGGCCCCGGGGCCGCGAGGGCCCCCGCCGGCCCCGCCCCCAACCCCGGCCCCGCCCCGCCCCCTCCACGTACCCACAGCAGCAGCTGCGTGATGACCACGTGGGCGAGCTCGGCCGCCAGGTGCAGGGGGGAGCGAAGCTGCGGGTCCTCCACGCCGGAGTCGAGCGGCCCGTGCCGCGCGTGGGCCAGGAGCAGGAGGACGGCGGCCACGTCCTGGGCCTGCACGGCGGCCCACAGCCGGCGGCCCAGCGGCTCCTCGGGGGCGCCCAGCGGCGCCAGGAACAGCAGCTGCTCGTACTTGGCGCGGATCCACGACTCCCGCTCCTCCCTGCGACACGGCGGCTGCAGCGAGGCCTCTGGGACCCGCACCCAGGACCCCCGCCCCCCACTCGGGGAGGCCCCCAGCGCCCCTTGCCTCCCACGTACCGCGAAGAGTCCCGCGTGGGTTTGCTGCGGCCCCGCGTGTCGCTCTCCCACACGCGGTTGGCCACGTCGTTGCCGATGGCCGTCAGCACCAGGGTCAGCTCCCGGGGCCAGTCGTCCAGGTCCAGCGAGCGGACGCGGGACAGGTGCGTGCCCAGGTTCCGGTGGATGCCCGAGCACTCGATGCAGATGAGCGCGCCCAGGTTCAGGCTGGCCCACGTGGGGTCTGCGGAGGGAGCGCGGACGTCGGCCCCCGGGCCCCCCGCACCCCCGCAGCTGCCAGCCCCCCACGCCCCGCCCCGCCGCTGCCCGCCTGCGCTCACTCGGGGCCCCGCAGTCCACGCAGATGGAGTTCCCCTTGGCGTTCCGGATCGCCTGGATGGCCACCGCCTCGCTTTGGCTGTCGGTGCGCAGCTGCGGAAACGGTTGGTCGGGTTGGGGCTGGCACGGAGCTTCTGCAGGCGCTTCAGACACTCGCCTCTGCTCGCCCCCGTCCGCCCCCCCCCCCCCCCCGCCCCATTACCTTGACCTTGCTGCTCTCGCAGCATTGCAGACTGGCTAGGATCTGACTTTCGATGGCCTGGACCCAGGCATCCCGCTCCTCAAAACTGGCTGCCTCGAAGTGCCACGTCTGACCAGTGCTGGACACGATCAAGAATTCGAAGTTTTCCTCTGGGTGGGGGGATGGGATGGGGTCATGAGGGACGAGCTCAAACAGTGGCGGCCTTCCCCAGACCCTTCCCCCCTGATGTCCATCCCAAGCCCCTGGGAGTGGGGCAGAGGGGTTGGGGAAGCAGAAGGTGGGGGAGAGCAGGAAGCCCGAGCACATGCAGGGGAAGGCAGGGGCACCCCCACCCCTCTGCACCCCAGCTGAGCGCCCCTCCCAGCTCCCCGCTTGTTACCTGCTTTATAAATATTTCTTAAACTACCAAAGGATTTTAGTTTCCACATTTTGCGCTTGGCTGGTTTCCCGAAGCGAAGGAGATAGAGATAGAATGGAGAGCAGAACAGAGAAAGAGACCAAGAAAGGAGAAAAAGAGAGGCAGATGGAGAGATGGAGAGAAGTAGTGACAGAGTGCCAGAGACAAAGCAGGACAGACAGATGGGGAGAGAAAGCAGAACTAAAGTCAGTGGCCCCGGAGCAGAGTAGAGCGGAAGCCAAGAGCCATGAGAGTGCAGATCTGGAACCTGGGTCTGAGCACCCAGCAGAGAGCAGGGCGTGGGGACCAGCTATCATGACCAGTGAGGAGCCAGGTCTCTGGGGAGGGAAGGGACGGTCAGGATCCGAGTGAACACAGGGAAAGGGGACAGAAGCTGGGTCTCGGGCCTGGGACAAGGGGGTCGTGGGGTTCCAGAGGAGTCTCGGGGGCCTGGGGAGGTCACTGGGGGCAGGACTGGGGATCACTGTGGTCAAGGGCGGTTGGGGGAGCTTGGTGATCATGAGAAGCTCTTGGGAAGAGGGGCTGGGTGGTCAGAGTCTGGGAGCTGAGGAGTCCACCATGGGGGACGCTAAAGTCAGGTGTGAGTCACCAGGGGTCATGGTGGGGGGATGCTGGGTGCAGGGCCTGGGATGACAAGTGGGGCTGGGGGCAGGAACAGAAGCTAGAGGCTCACTAAGAGAGGAAGCAGGACTGCTGGGAGTCCTTGGGAACGGGAGTGGCAGGACTGGGAAGTACTGGGGGGAAAGGCATTGTCTGGGAACGGGAGGAAGGACGGGAGCTGCGGGGTCTTCATCCACTTCTCACTAAGTTATGTGCAAAGTGATCATGATAGTCAAGCACTCAGCTCAGGCACTTTGCCTCCTCCTGCAGGAGCTGGGCCAGGGATCTGGAGTTGGGGGTAAGGGTCCAGGGTGGGAGTGGAACTGCCCGCCGGGGCCTCACCTTCAGCCTGCCCAGCTGAGCCTTCAGTCTTGGACGGTGTCGTCAATTTTTTCCTCCTCTGCTTCTTCACCATGGGAGAAGGAGGGGGTTCCCGACTCAGGGGGCTCAGGTCTCCAGATGGGGTACAGTCTTAGGGAGGGGGACACAGCTGCCTCAGTTGCCCCTGCCACAGATTTCCTGATTTCTCCAGAACCCTGTCTCCTCCCCTGAACTAGCTTTTGTCCCAGTCCTCTCCAGGAGGTCCCCCTTGATCATCCCTGGGGAGGTAGGCAGATGAGTGGTCTAGAGTCAGACCTGCACTCACATCCTGGCTCTGCCACTTACTGGCCTTGAGACCTTGAGCAAGTCACTTAATCTTCTGAGCCTCAGTTTCTTCATCCCTAGAATGGGGATAACAATCTTGACCTGACAAGGTTGCTGTAAGGACTGCCATTACAGTTTACTATATATACCTCCAAACGCTCTAAATACTGACGGCTGACTAATACTGACCGTTTAAGCTTCAAAGCCACCTCTGAGGTAGAAACTATTATCTCCATTTTACAGAGGAAGAAACTGAGGCACAGAGAGGTCAAGTGCCTTGCCCGGTGGCAAGCTAAGATTTAAGTTCAGGCAATTTAGCTGTAGAACGCACTCGTGTTAACCACTAGATAATCATAGCATGACTGAGCTTGGTGCCTGGCACCTGGCAGAGGCTCAGTGTGTCCACTCGTGCACTGATTCCAGCCTCCAAGCTCCCGCCCCAAGTTCATTGCCCACCCACATCCCGTTCACATCTGGAAGACAGTGGGGTGGAGGGTGGGACCTCACTGACCAGTGCTGAGGGCACGGGCCAAATTCCGGTCTGGTTTCAGCAGGTGCTTGGATGTCTGGTCTGGTGGTGGCTGCAGGGAACTGGGGCTGGGGCTTGGGCTTGGGGTGGGAGTGGTGGCTTCTGTTGGGAGGGGAACAAGATAAAGCTTCAGTGAGCCCTTCTGTCTTTGGGACCCACTCCTTACGTAGTCCGTCTTTATCACCCACCTTCCTGCTTATCCAGCCCACTCCCACTGCCCTACTACCCCTCCTCATCCCCAGTTCTGGCCCGTCAGTCATGAGCCCCACTCACCAGGACCTTCACCCATCTGTACGGTGCTCATGTCCTTGACCAACCCATTGATGCTGGCTGAGGGGCCAAACGCAGAGATGGCTCTTGGGGGCCTCTTGCCAGGGACTTTGACTGTGGTTCGTAGCAAGTCCATCTCCTTGCCATGGGTGCTGTGGATGTAATCCTGGAGGGGTACAGGGGTTGAGAACGTGGGAAGGCTGAGGTCCTTGGTGGTACTGGGAAGCAACCAATAGTATGGGCTAGAGAGGACCTGGAGAGGGGACCCTAGGGGCTGACTGTGTTGGAATGAGCTTCTAGGGCAGCTCGGGTGGCTAGCAGTTTAGCGCAGCCTTCAGCTCAGGGCCTGATCCTGGAGACCCAGGATCGAGTCCCATGCGGGATCCCTGCATGGGGCCTGCTTCTCCCTCTACCTGTGTCTCTGCACCTCTCTCTCATAAATAAATAAATAAATAAATAAATAAATAAATAAATAAATAAATAAATAAATAAATAAAATCTTAAAAAAAAAAAAGAATGAACTTCTAGGGGAAGGGCTCAACAGGTTTGGCCCAAAACTGTCTCCTCCAGGAGGATTCCCTGAATGGCAGACCAGGGGGAGGTCCTTCCTCCATGCTCTCCCATGAGACTGCAAGTTCCTGGGGACGTATCTTTACTCTCCCCTCTCCAGCATGGGTGTGTAGTGGGTGCCTAACACGTTTGCTGAACTTAGAAGAGGGGGTCTGGGGCTTCCCAGAAACCACATTAATGTCCGTCAGAGGCACCGACTGGTAGAGGTGGAAGGGTGTCCAGGGCCAGCCGGGGCGGCCCAGCCAACCCGACACTCACATTAATGCTCGGGTGGTAGAGTAGGAAGCCGTTACTGGACAGGGTCACATACTTCTTCTTCCATTCTTTGTTCAAGGAGTTGCCACTTCGCTTCAGGAGGAAGCTCTGGGGGGTGAAAAGAGACACGGGAGAAAAGCCAGTCAAGGACCAGCTACCCCCACCCTGCCCCCAGCCCCTGGACCACCCACCTGTTTGATGGGGATGGCTCGCCCACTCCCCGTTGTCTCTCCCCGACTGTCCAAACTCCGCTTCTCCGAATCACTGCCCCGACGATTCTGGAATGGTTATTGGCACCAGTCAGAGAATGAGCAGAGGGATACACTGATGGAAGGACAGGGAGGGCAACGAAAGTGGGCCCCACTGTGGGCTCAAGGGACCGGGAAGATGGGCAGGTAACAGAGAACTGGAGGATGGGGGAGCCATCCTGTCCAGTACCGCGAAAAGGCTGGTCCTACGCTTGGCTGCCCGGTGCAGGGACCCTGGGGTGCTCAATCCAGCCACCGCAGCCGCCTCAGCTCGGAGCTCCCGGTGACCGACGTTGGGTGAGGATGGGAGGGAAGAAGAGTAGTCGCTGGTGTGGCCCCCATTGCTAGCCTGGGGATGGATGAAGGAGTCAGCAGGACAGTTGAGATACCCCCACCCCAGCAAGCTATCGTCTGTATTGTCATTAATAATAAAACTCTTGCGGGACGCCTGGGTGGCTCAGCGGTTGAGCGTCTGCCTTCGGCTCAGGGCATGATCCCGGGGTCCTGGGATCGAGTCCCGCATCGGCCTCCCTGCATGGAGCCTGCTTCTCCCTCTGCCTCTCTCTCTGTGTCTCTCATGAATAAATAAAATCTTTTAAAAATAATAATAGTAAGACTCCTCACTGCCATAGTGCTTTATATTTTGCAAGTATTATCCCATACAGTTTTCTTAAAACCTTGGGAGGTTTAAGTGACTTGCTCAAGGACATTCCAAACAGCATTTCGCACCTGGTTGATCTCTAGTCCAGAGCACCCTCTAAAAATGGTGTCACTGCCATTTCCATTCGCCCCCTACCCCCAACCTCCTTGGTACCCTGTACCTGTTCTTGGGTCACCAACCCCTCTGCTGCATCTTACCAGCCCCTCTGTGGACCCCGAAACCCCAACTCACCTGCCCAGCTACAGGAGTGGAAGCAGCCGAGTGGCTTGGGGAGCTGGGCAGGGACTTACAGGCAGCCAGAAGCTGTTGCTGTTTTCGTAAGGTCACCACCTTCTGGGCCACTGAAGGAAGGGAGAGAGAAAGGACACATGAATCAGGCAGATACCCGAGACCACCCTTTGTTGCCCAACTTCGAGAAATCCCCAGGAGATAACATGGGCCCCAACTCCTCTGTCACTGTGGCCTTTGTGCCACCTGTAGTCTCCGGAGCTCTTCCTGCCCCAGAAACACCACGTGGTTATTAAGCAAACCTCTGACCTCCCTGGCCCCTCCTCCCTCCCATGCAGGCTAAGTTCCTGTCACTCAGAGAGGCCTGGATGCCCTAAGAGCACCCCAGGCCCCTAGCTCCCCTGCTTCCCACGTGTGCCGGGCCCCATACTCACCCTCCTGGAAGACGCGGTCCACGTTGAGCCCATAGGTTGCACACGTCTCATAGTAGCTGCAGCGCTTCATGTCTGCACACAGAGCCCTGGCACGAGCATCGCCCACCACTCGAGGGGAGGAAGCACTAATCCTGTCTGAGGGGACAGGAGAGGAGCGGGATTGGATGAGGGCGCCCCTTCCCCACTCTTGCTACTTTCTTTTCCCTTCGGCTCCAGTCCCAGGCTGGGCACACCAAGGACAGGCCGTGAGAGAAGCTGCCCTTCTCGGAATGCTGGGCCCAGCTCACTAGCCCAGGAGCGGGACGCGTAGGCTGGGTGAGCTCTGGGTGAGGCCTCCAAGAATATTCGAGAGATGAGGACTTCTTGACAAGGTCTGAAATGCCTGAGACTCACAAGTGACAATCACCCTGCCCTGCAAATACACTGAACGCTGAACTGAGTGGGAGTTCACCTCGCAAAAGGCTGAAGGGGGAACAGGTGGACCGTTCACTCTGCAGCAAGGAGCCAGGAGGCAAGTGGCGGCTGGAGGGAGGCTCCTGCAGGACAGGCATCCAGACAGAAGGTCGTGCCAGCTCAGTACTGGTGCGTCCTGGCAAAGCTCTTCCTGGTCCTGGTGGCATCTGAGAGCCTCCGAGTCACTTTGAGAACTCAAAAGTCTCTGCCCTCTGTATTTTCTCTATCACTTCGTTTGTGTTTTCTCTTCTGTAGATCCGTTCCTTCGAAAGGTGTCAGCCTGACCCAGCTGTAGCCAAGGGAGGATGGAAGGCTTTCTCTCCACACTAGAGCCTGAGATTTTCTGTGTTTGCCATGGTGGTGACAGGAAGTGGCAGTGAGAACACAAGGTAGGTGACATCTCGGAGGATTGGAGACTGCTATGACAGATGTCCCTTCCTTTCTGGAGGGTTCTCTTTTCTCTGCTCAGACCCTGGGAAGTTTTTTGTTTTGTGTGTGTGTGTGTGTGTGTGGTTTTTTTTTTGTTTGTTTGTTTTGTTTTTTTTGCTTAATAGCTCCCTTATTTGGAGACGAGGCTCCTTCCAGAGGGTGACTGCAATTCAAGTGGCCGTGTCCACATTTACCAAGCTCTCGCCTATGTTGGACAGTGTCTCAGCAGCCATGTCAAGAACTCCCCTGAAGGCAGTGCTTCCCCAGGCCCACCTTACCTTGTGTCCCCACCAATGCCAGTGCCAGGCCTCCTCGTCCTTCCCCCCGAAGGGAGCTGAGCTGCCCATGGAGATGGCTCACAGCCTGGAAACTGTTTTCATCCTCCAGGCTGAAGACCAAGATGACAGCATCTGCCCAGCCTGAGAACTTGCGGGGGGTGAGGGAAGCAAAAGGGAGGGTCAGACAAGTCCACTCCTCTGGACACTATGCCCACGGAGGTTGGAAACTAGAGCTTCCTCCCATGGCTAGTGCTGACCCCAACCAGCCCATCTACCCCAACACCTCACCCCTCACCTTGGCATCAGGTGCCCCAGCTTCTTCTCGGATCAACACTAGATGAATCTGTCCATCCACCAGCATCTCTTTCTTGTGCTGCTCACCTGTTGGGAAGGGGTGGAAGTGGTAGTAGGTCAGAGGTCACAGATCTCCATGTTTCCCCACTGCTCCCTGTACTTCAGCGATCGATCAATCGTGGCTTCATCCTTTCCTCTGGTCTCCATAGCGGCCTACTCATTGATCCCAGCTTCCTAAACTCTGGCTCCTGAGGACTCACTTTCTGTCTTCTCCAGCACTTGGTAGGAACCGGTCAAGAATCGGTGGATGAGCGATGACTTCCCACTCCTGGCGTCGCCCAGCACACCCTGAAAACAAGGTTGTGGAGCAGAGATTGTGAGACTCAAGAGGAGGCCAAATACTTGGGTCTGAACACTCCAGAGAACTCAGAGAGACTGGCAGTGTTAAATCACTCAAGCAGGGGCCTGCAGGGACTGGATGATGGTTGGTCAGGAGAGAGTAATGTAAAAAAAAAAATGTAAAAAAAAAAAAAAAAAAAAAGGAGAGAGCATTCTGGAAGATCAGGGGAGTGTGGCAATGATCCCAAGCTCAAAGTGGACCACAGGCTGAAGATTCCCAGCAGCCCAGTACCATGTGGAGGGAAGGGGGAAGTCATGCCACAGCCCTAGGCACTGGTTAGAAAGTGTTAGCAATAGAACGTGAGGGGCTAAGAGGGAGATGCCAGGAGCGAGGAGAAGCCTGGACGAGGCCCACGGACAAACAGGACAAAAGAGGCTAAAGAAGAAAAAGTTGCTGGATATACCAAGCCCCAGGACGGTGCTACGAGGTAGGATCTCAGGAGTACTGGAAAACTCTCCCTCACTCCCAGCGAGAGGGAAGGGAAGAGGGGGAGGGGAGAGCTGAGCGGCGGCTGGGAGGTGAGCGTCCCCACACACCAGCGGATGGGTGACCTACCAGGCGCAGTTCAGGAATGGAGCGGCTCAGAGTCCACTCCTGGCTATTGACCACCGCCTCTGTAATAGGAAAGGAGCCATAAGAGAGAGCGCTCCAGGCCGGGGAGCACCCCACCCCTCAGCCACCCTGCTCCTTTGGCGGCTCCCCTTTCCCCCCAGGACTCCGCCTGGGCTGGAGGACTGCGGGGAAAGGCCAGGTTCCAGAGTGGTCCCCAGGCCTCCCATCCCAGCCGCTCTCCCCACAGCTGTTGCTGCCGCTCAGTGGTTGCTTAGCAACGGAGCCAGCTAGACAAAAATACTTGGGTTGGCATCTCCCTTAAAGCACATCCCCAAACGTAAGTGCGCCCCAGACCGGGGACCGGGGACCGGGGACGGGGTCCGACGGCGGCGGGTCGCTCCCTCTGGGAGGACCGGAGAGGGTCCGCCAGACTCGGATTCCAGGGCAGATCCCGGGAGGAGGGGCTGGGACGGGAGGGCGCGGGCCTTCCTCAGTCTCCATTTCACAAGAGAGAAACTGAGGCGAGGGCTATCCCCTCCCCTCCTCAAGGTCACCAGCGGTGGCCCTGCCGCCTCCCGCGGCCCCAGCAAGGGAGCTGGGACTTGCCCCGGCCGCGTCTCCCGTCCCTTCCCCCACTTCCCCCACGAGACCCTCCCAGACAAGCGCGGGCGAGGGCCGGGCTGGCCGGGAAGCCGCGGGCCTGGGCGGGGGCGGGATGCTCCTTCCGCCGGGCGGCCCCCGCGCCCTACACCGGCCGGACGTTCCCGGGGCGCCGCAGCTGCGGCGGGAACTCTGGGATCCGGAGCCATCTGCTCCCACCCGCTCCGGAGCCAAACCCCGGGGCCGCCCCCGCTCCCGAACCGCCTCCCCTCCCGGGAGTGCGAGCCGCACCAAGAGTCCCTGCAGGCTCTTTCTGCCAGAAAAAAAAAAAAAAAAAAAAAAAGACACCCCCACCCCGCGCCCCGGGGGAAAAAACCCAGTACCTTCTGGGTACCCCCTCCCAAGTCTCCGGGGGTAAGAATTGCCTTTGCAGCAGTTCGTCCCCCTGAGTCACTCGTGGGCAGCCCCCCGGGGTTTCAGCGCCGCGTGGGGCGGGGGCAGGGGGAGTGAGGCTCCCAGCCGCCCCCTCTCACTTCACAGCCAAGTATTCATCACGTTCCAGCCCCCACGCTCCCAGCCTGCCCAAGCCACCTTCACTGCACGGAAAGAAACGAGAGTCCCTCCCTGCTGCCTCACCAGCCCGCCTGGGCCCAGGGAAGACCCATCCCTGGCGAGGAGCTGCCTGCAAGGTCACTCTCACGCCACCTGCCCCGAGTGCTCGGGAGAAACTGAGGCTCCCTCATCGCCTCCACCTTCAGTATTCCTTCAGGCAAGGGCAAAGCTCTGTTCCCAGGCCCCCGGAGTCCAACTGAGGCTGGGAGTGGGGTCTGGGGCTCCTCCACGAGACATTTCCTACAGTCACTCTGACCAAGGGCATTATCTTCTGAGCTATCTCAGAGCTTTCTGGGTCCCTCTGAAATCGAGTCACCTCTCCTGTCGCCAATGTAGCTACCCACCCCCGCTCGGAACCTCTTAGTCTTTGCCCCGGGGCCTTGGCGGAGGAGTGAATTCGGTTCATCCACCTCCACCCGGAGGCGGAGAGGCTTCCCTAGTTCAGTCCTGCACACCTCTCCTCCACCCCAAGCTGAGCATTCCACTGCCCTCCCCTCCCTGTTCTCAGGCCCTGGTCCTACTCACTAGGGGAGGCGCGGAGCTCTGCGCCCAGCAGCTCCCTGGACCCGCTGCCAGAAGACAGGCCCGGGGGTCCGGGAGGGGGCCCCGAGCCAGGAGGCCCCCCTGTGCTCTTGGTGAAGATGCCGCTGATAAACTTGAGCATCTTGCGATCTCGAGTGGATGCTCGGCCCCCCTCCCGGCCCCGTTTCAGCCCTGGAGCTGGAGGCTCCAGAGTGATTGGAGGTGCAGGCCCAGTGGGCTGCGCGGAGGCGGCGGTGGCAGCGGCGGCTGGAGCCGGGGTTGCCGGGAGGGTTAGCGGAGGAGGAGAGCCAGCAGGCGGTCCCGGGTGCAAGTCACTGTTGTCCAAGGTCTTACTCTTGCCTTTCCGAGGGGACAGCTTCCCTCGGGCTCCCGACCCAGCGCCGACCCCACCGGAGGTCGTGGCTGCGGCTCCTCCTCCCGCGGCGGCGGCGGCGGCGGCGGCGGCGGGAGCTGCAGTCCCCGCGCTGCTCTTTGACCCCTTGACCCTGGGCTTGCCTTCGCTTTCGGGCCATGACAGGCGGCTGCCCGCGCCCTTGCCCCCGCCGGCTTTGGCGCCACTCGTGGTCACGGTCTTGCAAGGCTTGGGAGCCGGCGGGGGCGGCGCCACCTTGAGCCTCCGACTGCCGGTGCCGGGGTGCGGGGAGGACGAGCCGGGGACGCCGCCGCCCGCCCGGCCTTCGGGCTCCGGGCCCCCCCAGCTCGGGCTGCTGAGCAAGGGGCGCCGCGGCGTGGGGGCGCCCCCGGGCTTGGGCTCCGGGCTCAGCGCCCCGGACAGCGGGGGCCCCGGCGGGGCGGCCCAGAGGGACAGGCGGCGGCCGGTGGCGGGGGACACGGGGCGGGCCGGGCTGGCCGGGGCCGGGGCCGGGGCGGGGGGCTCTGCGCCCCCGGCGCCCGCGCTGCTCGTGCTGATCCACAGCGCATCCTGCCGGTGGAAGAGACGCTCGTGCCGCTTCTTGCCCGGCTCCTCCGCGCCCCGGGGGCTGCCCGGGTCCCCGGTGTCGGCACCTCGGGCCCCGGGGGCGCCGGCGGCGGCCGCGGACGGAGACGGCGGCGGCGGCGGCACCGACTCGAGCTTGACCAGGGTCAGCGAGATGAGGTAGGTCGTTGTCCGGCGCTGAAGCGCGCCCGCGCCCCGGCTCATGGGGCCCCGCGACCCCCGAGCTGGGGAGGGGAGGGGACTCCCCCGGACTGCCTCAGGGGGGCCCGGCCATGGGGCCGCCCTGCCCGCTGCCCCCAGCCCCCGGCCCCCGCTGAGCCCCCGGCCCGGCTCCGCTGTCGCCGCCGCCGCCGCCGCCTCCGCCTGCGCCCCCCTCCCATCACACGGGGCGCCCCCTCCCCATGCTCCCCGCCCTGCGCCCCCACCCCGCGGAGCCCCGGGACCTTGGTGCTGCTCCGGAGGCGCGCCGGACCCTGCGCCCCGGCCTGGGTGGGGGCGCCGAGCTGGGCGGAGGAGGGCGGGGAGGACGGTCGTGGGGGCAAACCGGGGAGAGGGAGGGAAGCGGGCAGGGAAGAGGGACCCGCGGAGGCTGGGGGAGAGGACGAGCCGGTGCGGGGGAGGCAGGGGCGGGGAAGGGGCTCGGGGGCCGCGGGCCGGGGGTCCTGGGGAGGCGGGGAGCTCCTGGGCTGCTCGTGCGGGGGATTCGCAGGGGCGCGGGGAGGATGCTGGGGATGGAGACGCGGGCGCCGGCGGGGGAGGAAGGAGGGAAGCCTTGGGGGTGGGAACCCACGGGTCTGGGGTCTGGGAAGGAAGGGGCGTGAGATCCGGGCGACGGGTCCGGGGGGCTCGCCGGGGCTCGGCTCGGTCCGGATGCGCGCTGTGTCCGGGCGCTCCCCTCACATTGAGGAGGAGGCGGCCCCCCGCCCCCCCCCAGGCTCCCCCCCACCTTCTCTCCGCCGGCTCGGCTGTCGGAGAAGGCGGTGCAAAATCCAGGACTGGATTTCCCTCCCAAATCCCGGGCTGGATTTCCGAGAACCCGGACTCCCCTACTCCGACAGTCCAGCCCCCTCCCCTAGCACCCCGCGGTTAGGGAGCGCGACTGCCGGGTGTGGCCTGTAGGGACGGGGTAAAAAGCAGTAGGCGGGTGGGCAGTCCGCAGGAGGAACGGAGCGATTTCAGGGGGTCACTGCGGGTTCTGGGGAAGTTGAAATGGGGAAACGGGGAGTCCTGAAATCCCTTCCCCAGGACCCCTTGTCTTCCCCAGGTAATTGGGCGCATTCTTTTTCCCATCACCCGGCCGCCCTGCCCACCCCACCCCACCCCAGCCCACGCCCACACGCAGTATATTGCGGGGGCCACGACTTGAGCCCAACTGTCCCAAAGTGAACTTGCAAAAGTGTTCCCTGGGGATGGGGACAAGCACGGAACTTAGCAGAGTAGGAAAGAGGGGGGTGCCTTAGGAGGGGAGAGGGCTCCTGCAGCCCAGGCCAAGAAGTGAGTCAAAGGCTCCAGCTTGAGGTGGAAGGAGAAGGAGTGTGTCTACAGACTGACACCCCCCATACCAAAATGCATCCAGTCTCCATAGCAACCATAGCTCCAAGAGTGCCTCAGAATCAGCGGGGATAAGCAGAGAGGAGAATCGCTGTGTGGGGTGGGGGGGGACCTGCGGGGGGGTTGGGGGTGGACGGAGACACATCCTCGAATCTGGTGACCCACGTGGGGGGTATTTAGTACCCCTGAATATGAGGATCCCTTCAGTTGAGGCGGGCGCCAGCCTCTTTCGGGTTCCCATTCGGTCTCCTGAGGTTTTCAGGGTGGAGCCTTTTTAGAAGGTTAAAGAGGAGATAGAATGGAGAACGTCTGTCTGCTCCGAGTCCACCACCCTTCTAGGGACCCTGGAGTTCAAGACTCACTGTCCTCTACCCTGAGGAGAAGCTTGAAGGGGTTGGGCCAATGGAGAACAGAGGCTGAGACCCAGCAGCGATGGGCCAGAGTGGTGGGAGGCCTTCACAGACCCCTCCCCGGACCCAGGGAGTCTCAGCATTCCCCTAATTTGGCGTCCCACCCTCCTGACGCAGCTGAGACTATAATAAGTGCTGTCGTGGGCGGATCTCGGAGGCAGGAGCTGGGAGCGTGCTTGGCCTGGTAGGGGGTGAGGTGGGGAGGGTGCCAGGATGCTGGATGCCCTTTGTTTTCCCGAGACCCCTATACCCTGAAACCCCTCTAGGGTCCTGTCCTGAGGTCAGCACTCCCCTCTCCACCCCACCCCAGGACGACATCTTCCCAGGGACAGGAGACCCTTCAGGAGCCTTCTCTGAATTTTGGGAAAACAGAGGGTGTAGGTTGATTTGCTGCTTCTGCCTTAATTTTTCTTCCTTCCTTTGGTGGCCTCAGTTTTCCTTTATGTTCAGTGAGAACGGAATCCTGACTCTTAAGAGAAGAGTGCAACAAATCACTTATGAACAGTGGAGTCTTCTGGGAGATTTCAGCCTCCAGCCCTCCTCAGTCCCTCCTTCTCCAGAGCTAAGCAGAGCGATTCCACCTGCACTAAACCTTCTTCCTCCTCCTTTTTTTTTTTTTTCCACAGGGGTGGGGCTTGGAGTTCCTCCCTAAGAGGCCCCATGGGCCACTCCCCCTAGGTCTGCCTTTCCACCCACTGAGGCTGTAGGAAAGGTGTCAGCCATTGTTCTTGGCAAAGGGTGGGGACGGGAGGCAAGAGGGCCACTAGCCTCAGAAAGGCAATGCGAAGGGGATCACACTGTCCCCTTAGGAACCGGAGCCAAATTTTCCTTCCCCGGTTATGGTGTGGTGGCCTCCACCATCAACAAGGTCCGGCAGGAGGTATCCCCCGATAGAAAGAATGGTCTCTTGAACCCGCACCCCGCCCCAGGGAGACAGCTAAGACTGGAGCGGCTGGGAGATCAGGATATGATGAAAGATGCACTTCTCCCGGACACCTTTCACGAACCACGTAGCTGGCTTTTGTCAGTTCTTTGCCACCCCAGAGGTGAATGAGAGGACAGTAGGCCGGAGACGGCTTTCAGCTCCACCAGCTCCTTAGTGGTGGGGCCCTGTGGATAGAGAGAAGCTGTTCCTGCCAGGGCCCCACCACAGGACTGAAGGCTGGGTGGGCAGGAGGATGTGGCGGATGGTGTTGCCATGGCAGCACTTCCTCCCTGTGTTGTCATCACTTGCTCTAATGGCACTAAGGAGGTAGAGCGGAAGGTGTGTTGGGGGGGGGGGGACAGAAATGGGAGCGTGGGGAAGAGAGGGGACCGAAAGAGTCCTGGGGACTTCTTTACACTTTGGCTATGCAAAGCATGCAGTCTGAGCGGTGGTGTGTGCCTGGGAGCCTGAGATTCTCTGCATGGTGTGTTCCAATGTGTGTTTCTCTCTACAGCTGGAGAACAAGAGGTCACTGATCCTTTGCGGGTCCTGGGAATGAAGACATTATCCAGTCCCAGAACCTCCTGCCCCACGCTGCTTCCTGCCCTGGACTCCCCAGGCAGGGTCCGAGTCTACCATAGGTCTGTCACGGCTTCTCTTCCCCATGCTCACCCACTTCTCCATTGCCAAGGTCAGCTCAGCAGGGACTTGTATTTTGATCCCCTGGGAGCAGGACCAGAGTTGGGGAAAAGGGAAGAACACCACCTCCCGTATCTTTTTCCATCCTGTCCAAATGTATTCTTCCCCCGAGTCCCAGCTCCATCTAGAGGACTAGGAAGTGGCTGATTGGGAAGTGATGTATGACACAGCAAGCCCTTCTATGCTACACACCATCCCCCGCCCCCCCCCTCGTCCCTGGGGTCCCTGATACACCCAAGTTGGGAGCTAACCCTTCTCTTACCGTGCAGTCTGTCCAGTGAGGCCTGGATGCTGTTCCGAAGTTCAGGATCACCCACCCTCTCTGCCAGCTTCCTGAGGCGGCAAAGAGACTGCTTGGCCACCTCGTGTCGTCTGACTTCTGCTCTCACGGCAGCTCCAGCCAACTGCCTCTGGGCATGCATGTTGCCCAGACCTGTCTTGCCGGGCTAACAGCAACCTCTGGCCCTGAAGCCCATGGCCCCGTAGTCCCTCAACACCAGAAGGCCCCTTCTTCTGTGCCCCAGAACTCCCCGCTCCTGCCCGCCCTTCCGTCTGTCGGCCTCACTTCCTGACTGGTGAGTTTCAAACCCACAGCCTGGGACAGCACTACCTCCTGCACCTCCCACCCCCTCTAGCGTTGGCCCATCAGCTCTGCCAGCCAGCCCCTGCTAGAAGTCCTCAGCCAGGTGCATGGAGAGGCCTTAACAAGCATCCTAGGGCCTCCTGTGGGAGGTGACTAATTAAGATGGGTGTTGGTGCTGGGGAAATGTGCCACGCCAGGCCCCACATGCAATCCCCAACTCTTGCTGACCTACAGATTTATGTTCAGTGTCAAACTCTGACAGGAATGTATACACGTTTGGTCTCTCACCCTTCTAGCCCCACATTCCAGCTCGCAAGTGTTCTCACCACCCACTCTACACATCCAAAGAGCTCGTTCGCGTACCTACATCTTGCTCCATAACACTCCCACAGGCCGCCAGCCCCCTGTAACCACCTCCTGCTTAAAAAGGCCAATAGTTATACGGAGAACAGGTTATGGAGGAGGACAGTAACTATAACCAGACAAAACCACCAGGCTTTCTCAATTACTTTCATAATAATTGTCTATAACACTTAATAGTTTATGACACTCTTTCAAATATACATGGTCTTTATGACAGGCCCGAGGGGTGCAGGAAAGGGAGCCAAAGCTCAGAGAGGCCAGGAAGAGGTGAAACAAATCTATGCATCTAGGTCTTTTTTTTTTTTTTTTAGATTTTATTTTTAAGTAATCTCTATATTCAGCGTGCAGCCTGAAGTCACCACCCCGAGATCAAGCGTTGCATGCTCCACTGAGCCAGCCACGCGCCCCTGTGAGTCTAGGTCTTCTGATTCCAACTGATACCCTTTTACTCTACCACCCAGCGGAGATGCCTGCCAGCCAGTTTGCCTTATCCCTAATACCCTTGTCTTGCCCTCGATGTAGGACCCGGGAGAGAAGAGGGTGTATGAGGAATTGGCGAACAGAATGAAGATGCAGGGGGTACGTAGCGGCGGAGTGGGTGATCTGACCTAATCACTGTTTCAGGACTCAAACCTTTCTGGCGCTGCCAAATGTCCCTTCTGCATATGTTATTAATTACGAAGGATATTAATTTATGAAGGATAAGGGAATTATAACTATGCGACCATGTGTATAGTTCCCGGTCCCCAAGGGAATTGGGGGCTGGGATCACCCGCTGGAACTTGCAAAATAGCCTGACTAAAATAGGGAACACTGAGTGTTTACTAATGTGCCGGGTACGGCCCTAAGCACTCTGCATATATCATCTCATTCAATCGAGTTGATACGAGAGGCGGCTGTACTGTTCTTTAGCTCTATTTACAGATGAGGAAACAGGCTCCGGAGCTTAGGTAGCAGGCCAAGGGTCACACGGCCAGAAAGTGGGGAAGCTGTAACCCAGGCGGGCGGGCTGGCGAAGACTTGCAGGGCTTTGCCGTCATCGAATCGCAGTACACACAAGCTCAAGTCCTCCTCTGGGGTCGAAGGGAGGTTCCCACTGAAACGGTTTCTCTTGGGGGAAGGAGGAATTAGGCCTTTTCCCATCTCCATGAAAAGCATCTATCCAATAATAAGTATATTGCTCAGCCCTTGTGCCCTTCCGCAGAGTGGAAATGCAGAGCCGACTCCTTCCCCTTGTATTTATTCATATTCCAGACCCCTTCCTTTGACTTTTTTTCTCTGCAAGCCCCGGACCAGGTGCCTGCTCTGAAGATACGGAGCACACTCCTGCCTGCACTTGTGGCTTTGTCACATTCAGGAATGCCCTGGCTCGAGGCAGCTGTTTTTCACACCGAATTTCACTAGCACACTCACACCCAGCGGGGAGGGGGATACGGGAGAGAACATGTGTACTAGGGGACACACCTGCAATGTGTGGCGATTTGCTGGATGTTGCTGTGCCCAACCCAGGGCCTCGGTGGCCCGGCTAAACAGCTCGCCGTCCGTTCCTCCGGGTGCTCCCGAGTGTGATGCGATGACGACCAACGATGGCGTCACCGTGAGGTCACCGCGGGGCGGGGGCGGGGCGCGGGGAGCCTGCCGCGGCCCTCGCAGCCGCCCCTTCTCCCCCTCCACGGGTTCTCTCCCGCGCCTCCTCCCCCGGCGGCCACACAAAGCTCCGCTTTCAATCCGGGGTCTCGAAGTTTGGGCTCCGGTCCCCAGGAGAGCCGATGCGAGCCCTACCCCGGCTTTAAGCTTCGCCCAATAAGGAGCCGCGAGGCGGGGCCGGCCGGCGGTCGCCCAGGCGCCGGCGCCCCGGATTAGCCCCGAGCCCCGCCAATCCAGGCGCAGGGGTGGGACGGGGCAGGCGCACAGGACGGGGCTTGGCGGGACTCGATTTAAAGAGACAGAAGCTGCCGGGGCCCAAGACGACAGTCCCCAGGACCCTCCCCCCGAGTCCTTGGGGCCGGCCGGGTCCCCAGAGCTGGGGAGATGGTTTGCGGTGGCTTCGCCTGCTCCAAGAATGCGCTGTGCGCTCTCAACGTGGTCTACATGGTGAGGCGGCGGGGGCGGCGGCGGGGGCGCTGCAGGGCGGAGACGGGCGCGGAGGACCTCCGGGGGACTTCCGGCGGGAAGAGGGGTGCGCCGGGGTTCCGGGAAGATTCCCGAGGGCTTCCGGCGAAGAGGGGATTCCAGGGGACTTCCGTGGGAAGAGGGGAGACTTCCGGTGATCCGAGGGGGTGTGTGGGTGGGGGGTGAGCTGAAGACGGTGGGCCTGAGGGCCCATCCCTCCCTCCCTCCCTCCCTCGAGGGCTTCTCCCAAATTAGAAGCGATGGGGAAGCCAAAGGCCCCGTGTTTATATTCTTAGGCTCTACTATCCTGCTGCCCCCCATCGCAGCCACGCCGACCGGTGGGCGCATACACCTCCTCCCCGTAGTTCACACACACCCCGATCTCGAGAACCCCCGTGTGACTCTCGGCCGCGCTGCGCGCTGGGGCTCTCTGGGGATGTAACCCGCTCTGCTTCCTGCAGCTGGTGGGCTTGTTGCTCATTGGAGTGGCTGCGTGGGGGAAGGGCCTGGGCCTGGTGTCCAGCATCCACATCATCGGAGGAGTCATCGCCGTGGGGGTCTTCCTTCTTCTCATCGCCGTGGCTGGACTGGTGGGTGCTGTCAACCACCACCAAGTCCTGCTCTTCTTTGTATCCTGACCTTAAGTGATGGGGGACCTGGGCCTCCGGGGGGGCCGAATTGGCTAGAAATGTTCTAGGAAGTGTAGACTTGAGGGACTTGGGGGACAGGCCTCCCTGCCCTGCCCTTTCCCACACTTCATGAAACAAGAGCTGAGGATTTCGTTTTCAACTAGCATGGCTATGTAAGTGCTATGAACGGGTGAGATCAGGTGGTTATTATGGGTGCAACATAAAAGAATCTAGGATCCTTTTTTCCCATAACTCTTCCTCTCAGTACATGATCATCCTTGGTTTGGTCTTCATCTTCCAGTTTGGAATCTCTTGTTCATGTCTGGCTATTAACCGAAGCAAACAGGTAAGTGGATGCCCTCTCAAGTACTTTTCTCTATCCTCCCAACTCCCTCCTTTCAGTCTGTACCTTTTAGGGGGCCTACTACTTCCAGAACCCAAGGTGGGTTTGTATCATTTTCTGCATGATACTACTTTGTTCCTGAGGGATGTAGACTGCCTTTGCTGGGATAGGGAAATGAGGCACTTTAACTGAGGTCAGGATGTGGGGGCATTCTTAAGGTTAGCAGCATCCAGTAATTTCCCTCTGCCTATTTTCCAGACAGATGTCATCAATGCTTCTTGGTGGGTCATGAGCAACAACACCAGGGATGAACTGGAAAGAAGTTTTGATTGTTGTGGCTTGTTCAACCTTACAACCCTGTATCAACAGGATTATGCTTTCTGCACTGCAGTGAGTTGGTGCAGAGGCGGGGCAGGGGCAGGAGGGCAGGAAAGCTAGTTAAGGACAGTGCCAAATTGGCAGATTTAAGAGTCTGAATGTGCTTGACTTCTCTAGCAGCTCTCTTGCATTGGAGCTGTGTGTTGGTAGGGGAAGGGGGGGGGATACAAAGGTTAAAGAATTAGTGAAGTTGAGATTTCAGTCTGTAGGATGCTGATAAGAAATGAGAAAATAATTTCCGGGGCCCTTCACCATAGGTGTTGGGATAGGGCAGCCTGACAACTCTGCATCCTCCAAACACACACTTTTTTCCCCTTAGATCTGCAAGAGCCGGAGCTCCACATGCCAGATGTGTGGAGAAAAGTTCCTCAAGCATTCAGATGAAGCACTGAAAATCCTGGGGGGTGTTGGACTCTTCTTTAGCTTTACAGAGGTAATGTTCTTCAGTTCTCTCATACATACCCTTTCTCTGTCTTAGCTCCAGAGATTCAGAATCGCTGATAATCTCTTTCCCTTTGTTTTTTTTTTTTTTTTTTTTTTTTTTTTACAGATTCTTGGTGTTTGGTTAGCAATGAGATTTCGGAATCAGAAGGATCCTCGAGCTAACCCCAGTGCCTTTCTATGAGACTCTGGACCCTTCTGACTTTTGCTCTCTGTTCTCCCTAAGCTTTTCTTCCTCCCTTAGGGAAAACCTAGGGTCTGTAGCCCTTTTTGTTTGAGAAAAAGGAAAGGCCCTTTGCCACACATCCCAAAATGACTGAACAGCCAGGCTGTGTGCCTTGACATGTTTAGTGGGAACAAGATCGTAAGGAATAAAGAACTTCCTCCCTCTCTCCCTAAGTGGATATGGGAAGCTCCTGGGAGCGCATGAAGTGGGATGGGGTTGGAGTCCTTCCTGGCTCTGTTTCGCTTCCACATGCTAGACCAACTCGATACATTGTGGCCTGGCTCCAAGGGTAAATCAGGGACAGAATCAGGGAAAAAACCACCAAGAACTCTTTCTTACAATAAGCAAGACCCAGTTTGGGGAAGTTCAGTGAATATAAAAATAAAAGCCATTTAAGCTCCGTATTCAAAGAAGCAACTTAAGTGCCTTTTCTTCTCTTGCCAGTTGAGGGGCTCCAATTGCCTACATAGGCCCTAAGACCTAGGGAGAATTTTTTCAGATTTTACGAATGATTTTTCCAAGTCCCCAAATGGCAATACCCATCAGAGGAAGAAACATAAAAAAAAAAAAAAAAAAAAAGACCATATTTCTTTGTTTTGTTTTTCCTGTATAAAAAAGATTCGAATATCAAGATAGAAAGGGGAGAACAAGGGACATACCCCTTGGTGTATGAAAATGGGGAGGAGGGGGCAGGAGAAGGATAAGCCTCAAAAGGAGAGGTGGAAAGGGATTATCATTAAGGCAGCAAAATATTCTCTGTAAAAAGTGGGAGTTGTTTCCACAGCCTCAGAGATGAAGGCCAAGACTGCCTTCTTAGTTTGGGGAGCTCTCCACTCAAGTGTTCAAAGGAAGAGAAAAGACAGCTTCTCTCCTCTTGCTACTGTTGCAGCCGTTCCACTGCTCACTCTGGGTTACCTTCTGCCTTTTGTAGATAAGAGTGCTGCAGGGCTCGGAAGGCAGAGATTCGCTTGTGTGGGTTAAAAGTCAGCATCTCCTGAGAAGGGGAGGCAAAGATCAAAAGGTCATGAAGACAAAACAAAAAAAAAAAAAAAGAAAAGAAAAAGACTTCTGCTCACCCCCAACAATACCTAGGATGGGCTATTTTCTACATCCCTCTTTGTGGATGGCCTGTTCACTGGCACCAGTAAAAACTAGCCCATCCACCAACCAAGTCTTAGTAACTGCAATGCTAGTGCTCGGTCTTTGACCCCATCCTCAGCCTGTGCCCGTGCCCACGCCCAGTACCAGCAGCAGCTGTGCTCCAGACTCCTCCATCTCAGGTACCACTGTCTGTACTGGACGGGGCCCTCTAGGGGAAAAGGCTCCTCGGGGCAGAGACACATCTCGGGGCCAGTCATCCTCTGGGGGCAGCCCGATCAGGCTATGGGGAACAGGAGAGCTCTGGTCAAGAGGGTCTTTCTCTAGCCCACATCTCCAGGAGCAGAGCCAACTGCCATGTGGGGCTCAGCAGAAAGAAGATTTGGAATGGGAAGTTTTTTTTTTTCTCCCCTCATGCTGGTCACTTACTCAAAGATTTTGCCTAACTGGTCAGCTTCAGAGTTTCCACAGAAGAGAGGCCTAAGGTGGGAAAAACACAGTTAGCAGTCATGTCCAAAGATACAGTAGTGGAATAATTACTGGTAGGTAATGGCTCAAAACAGAGAGTGTGGGAATACAGGGATGTGAAGTTCCTAACTTTGGGACATTTCTGAGTTTCTGGTTAGGGGCAGAACAGTCAACAATACTTAAGTGAAAGAATGGGCAGGAAATGGATGTGATTTATAACTAAGAGATTTGGTTTGGGAAACTCAAAATAGTTCAGGATGCTTGGGTCCCATACTTGCGACGAAACATCTCTGCGAAGATACAGCCGACACTCCACATGTCCACGGGTGTTGCATACGTAGACTGCAGAAGAACTTCTGGAGCACGATACCAGAGTGTAACAACCTAATAGGAATAAGAAAAGTGGATGAAGACCCCATGGGTTACCATGAACCATAACTGCTTGACTAAAGTCACAAAGCGCCTGACTTCTCAACTGCTATGGTCAACCCCTCTCCTACTCCCCTCTTGCTACTGACCACAGGCGTAAGTGCCATCTGGTAGCTGTAGATTCTGGCCAGGCCAAAGTCAGCCAGCTTGACTGTCCCACCACTGGTCACCAGAATGTTCTCCGGCTTCAGGTCTCGGTGAACGATGCAGTTGGCATGAAGGAAATCTAGGCCTCTTAGAAACTGGCGCATCAGATCCTGGTTTACAAGGGGGAAGAACAGAGGACCTGGGAACTAGGCACCATACCTGGAATCACAGCAGGTTCTGCCACAAAGGTCTCAATCTACTCCTCAGAGTCCACCCACCCTACTCACCTTGATGGTCTCCACTGGCAAGCCCGGTGGGGGTGCCTTGTCCAGGTACGTTCTCAGGTCTTGGTCCACGTGCTCAAACACCAGGGTCACTTTGGTCTCCCGGTCGGTTCGGGCAGTGGCGCAGACGTCCATCAGCCTGGCCAGAACAAATGGTCACTCACTGATCAATCCCTCTGGACCCGACACGGCCTTCCCCATTTCCCCAGAATCCCCACCTACAAGTTGTCTTTTCCCCTTTACTACCCACTCCCCACCCTCCACCTTCTCACCGGACAACGTTGGGATGCTCAAAAGCCTCCAGCCGCCTCAGCAATGCCACTTCACGAACTGTGCTAATGGGAAGGCCCCCTCCGGCACCTCCTCCATTAGGGACTCTAACGCTCTTGAGGGCCACGAAGTGGCCGCTGTGCGGATCACGGGCCTTGTACACCGTCCCATAGGCACCAACCCCAATCTCAGCCACTGGCTCGTACCGAGGAGTAGCCATTCTCGGATCAGAGAAGACCCTACAATCACAAAAGCCTCCTGCCACCGAAAATCCCTCAAGAGTTAAGGTGGTATGAGCCTGCCGCAACGAGGTGACTCCCCCACAAGGCATCACAAAGACCCCCCTCCACCACCCCGTCCCTCTCCCCAGTTCCGTGAGGCTGGCTCCTCAGCTGACACAATGGCTCTAACCCCAACCCCGCCAGCCACGTGAAGCCCTAAAAGAAAGAATTCCTCTTCCTCGGGGACGGGCCGTCGCGCCCCGCACTGGGCAGACCGCGCACGACACACCCCCTGCATCGAAGGCTCGACATCCGTCCCTAACATTACGTCCCAGCTGACCACAAAGGAACGAGTTGCGCGGGCCGCACTTCCCGCCCTCGAGCGACCCTCCCGTAACCTGCCCGCGGAGGCAGACGCGAGGGCGACAGCGGTCCCGTCCCGGGGAAGGCGCCACGCTCACCTCACTCGGCGCCGGGTGCTGCGGGGGCGGCCCGTTATCGGGGCCCCGGAGCCAGAGCCTGCGGCGCCATACACAGGAGCTCTGTCCGGGGCAGCTGGACGCTCCGGGCCCGACCATAGACAGGCCGCCAGCTAGAGCGGCCCCCGCACCCCCACCCTCACCATGTGACCAGCTGCCAAAGAGGAGCGCGGGAACTGGCGGGGCGGGGCGAAAGCCGGACGTTCGGGCCACGTGACGAGCCGCGCGTGCGCAGAGGGGCGGCCAGAGCGGCCTCGGCCGGGAAGGGGGCGGGGAGGGGCGAGGGGCGAGGGGCGACGACGGCCACGTGATCTGTTGCTATCACACGTGACCGCCCGACTCCGCTCGGAGGAGCAGAGGTGTGGCTACGCGGCGGGGCACGTGACCGACTGCCAGACCCGGCGGGGGGGCGGGGAGACGGGGGAGGGTGGAGTCCAGGGCGGTGCCATGGCAACCCGGGCCACCCGGCTCCCCGGCCGAGCTGCAGGCCGCGCCTGAGCGCTTCTGGCGCTCGCTCCACGCTCCGCGCCTCCCTCTGTGCGCGGCGGTCAGGGAGCGGGAGACGAGGCCGGGGGCGGGACGGGCGCTGGAGCCTTTCGGCCTCACTGCCGCGGGGAGACCTGGTCTCGTTTGTGTCTTTGTTTCATTCATTCAGTCATTCAACAAATTTTTACCGAGTGCTCGCTTCCTGTGTGCATGCGGGTTTTTTTTTTTTTTTTCTTCCGGTGTCTCAGTCGCTGGCCCTTTAACGGGGTGATGGGGCAGTTTGGAAAGACGTAGCCCCCGGTGGGGACAATACCCATCTCAGGGCACAACCAGCACTAAAGGACTGACGGAAGGCACACTAATGCAGTGACCCAACCGGAGGAGTGTCAAGGTGATGCCCTCCCCTCTTCCCAACTTCCACCTCTTCCAGGGAGCGTAAAATAAGACGGTGCTTTCTGGCGGAGAAATTATCAATGAGCAAGAGACAGGAACACTTAACCTACAAGGTTCTTTGCAACAGGGAGAGGCAATGATATGTGCGTTTGTGTATGTGTGGGTATTTTACACATTGTGTACAGATGGACAGATACAGGAGTGAGCGCGTGCAGGGAGGTTACTTCCACCACCACCCTGGACCTCGGCACTGCATGAGAATGATTTGTGCTCTTCCACAAACCCCGTGACTCCTTGTTTGGGGTCGTTCTGCTTCCCTCTTTCCCCCGGTGCGAGCTTTCTTAGTCCTGGCTCCCGCCCAGAACACAGACTTTTCCAAATTGCTTCTGCTCACAGACACCTAGGTCGACAATAGACAGATTCCTCTGACTTTCCTTATTTCCTAGCCCTTTAGGGGAATGGGAATAAGGAGGGAAGAGATCAGTATCTCGTTCGGGACAACCTGTCTAAAATCCGAAAGCATTTCATGACTCTATTTGCCGCTCCTTCCACCTTAACTTCTATTCTCCTTAACCATCTAGTGGAGGTTGTAAGAGCTCAGGCTCGAGATGACTATAAACCACGTTCTAGGACAAAATGGAATACAAGTCAGTACTGATTCGCCCTCTTTGCATTCTGATAGTTGTAGCTCTGGGCCCTGCTGGCAAGGGCAGCTGGAACACTAGAAAGAAAAACCTCAAGGTCTAAACTGGCAAAGGGGCTTCTGAGGTCGCTGTTTTATTGGCTCTCTTGCCGGGACTGGTTGGTTTATAAGCCTTCTGGCAGGCAAAGTGTCTGAGTCTGTCAAGCAGGGTCCCCTTCAGCTCCACTTTCCGCAGCCGACTGTCTTTGGAATCGAAGTCCTCCTCTGTGTTGTTTCCTTGGGTTCCAGCCCCCCCCTTTCTGATTCATTCATCCATCCACCCAAAACATTTGAATACTCATAAAAGCATTACTCTCCTTAATCACTTTTATTGAGGAGACTTAGTTTGGCAGTCTATCCCTGGTTCCATACCCTCCCTCTCCTGTTAATTACTCTTTCACTAATTAATTTTTTTCCAGTGTGTTTGACCCAAAGGGCTCCTCTGGAATCCCTTTTCCCTCAGCGTTGGAAAGGGAGGATATATCTGTAAGGCAGAAATAATGTGATGAGGGGCTA